TTTAATCGTTTTTCTATTTGTTATAGGTTTATGAAGCACCTTTTGTGCATGAAAAGTAATATATAAATAAAGGTTTACTGATTGACTTTGATTCAAACTGTGTTTTTAAGTTCTTTTAACTCAAATGAATGACTTCAATAATTCCTCAGGCATTGTTTTACTTACTTTAATTTCAAATATTTGCAGTATCTCTTGGATGTGTTTGAGTGTCTGAGTATCTGATGTGTTTCAGACTGTGTGTGTGCGTGTGCGTGTGTGTGTGTGTGTGTGTGTGTGTGTGTGTGTGTGTGTGTGTGTGTGTGTGTGTGTGTGTGTGTTTCTCTCGGGGAGATAGAGTTTCGGTGAAAGCCTGAGCGAGTGTAAACTAATCCTAAAGCTCGCCAGCTGCTCTGCGATCCTCGGCATCTCCAGGAGAGTTTACCCTGCTGTTATTCTACATCAACATATATCATCGTTCACTGTCGAGACACTTTCAAAACCTCTCATAATCTTACTGTACACAGACCCTAAAATACTGTAAATACAAACATATTTTAAGAAACTTTAAAGAGGCCTTGTTCTGCATTTTTTTGTTCTCTTTCCTGAAGTGTGTTCTATATGTTTTGGTGCATGTAAATGGTCTGCAAAGGCTAAAATCCCAAAGTTCCTGAAGCGATATCACTGTTGAAAACTTGCGCTCTTGTTGGCTATCGCTCCAACACATTGTACGTGATAGGCTAAGGGGCGGGACATCTCTAAGCAGTTGACCAATCACAACAGAGCTGGCCAGCTAACCAATCAGAGCAGACTGGGCTCTGGTTTCAGACAGAGGGTGAAAAGAGGTGCTGCAGCACAGACAGTATGAGAAGAGCTTTTTGAACATTAAAGCATGGAGACATGTAGAGACACTACATACTGATATACACCTGAACATCAGCAGGAGAGGACTCTTTAAAGTAGAGACACTACATACTGATATACACCTGAACATCAGCAGGAGAGGACTCTTTAAAGTAGAGACACTACATACTGATATACACCTGAACATCAGCAGGAGAGGACTCTTTAAAGTAGAGACACTACATACTGATATACACCTGAACATCAGCAGGAGAGGACTCTTTAAAGTAGAGACACTACATACTGATATACACCTGAACATCAGCAGGAGAGGACTCTTTAAAGTAGAGACACTACATACTGATATACACCTGAACATCAGCAGGAGAGGACTCTTTAAAGTAGAGACACTACATACTGATATACACCTGAACATCAGCAGGAGAGGACTCTTTAAAGTAGAGACACTAGATACTGATATACACCTGAACATCAGCAGGAGAGGACTCTTTAAAGTAGAGACACTAGATACTGATATACACCTGAACATCAGCAGGAGAGGACTCTTTAAAGTAGAGACACTACATACTGATATACACCTGAACATCAGCAGGAGAGGACTCTTTAAAGTAGAGACATTACATACTGATATACACCTGAACATCAGCAGGAGAGGACTCTTTAAAGTAGAGACATTACATACTGATATACACCTGAACATCAGCAGGAGAGGACTCTTTAAAGTAGAGACACTACATACTGATATACACCTGAACATCAGCAGGATAATATGTCCTCTTTAATATAAATTATAATACTTTTAATTCATGAATGTGCAAAATAAAACGTATGAATAAATCGATGTAAAATCGTCATTAAATAAATAACACTAAGTAAAAATGCGAAACATTTAAAAAACGTCGCTCCTCTCCTGGTGGCCGTGCAGGTTGAGGTCACTCTGACAGCAGGGGTCAAGGGTCACGACCCCCACCTGGACACACACCATAAACTCTGACATCTTCCTCTCACAGTGTGTGAGTGTGTGTGTGTATCTCTTAATCCTCAGATACAGTTTCCTTATTATAACAGCCAATGAACTAAATACCTGTGTGCATTGTTTCTAAATGAAGGAAACAGGAGACACTTTAATTTCAAAATGCCGTCCCATATCTTCTGCCTCCAGTAACCAGCCCCTCCCTCGATGTTACCCCGTCTGACTGGGGGTCGGAGGGCAAGTGTTGTCACATGGTCTGCATGCCTCGCCTAATGACTGACAGCTGGACACAGACTCTGACAACACATGGGGGGAATGTGGGGAAGTACTCGAGTACAGTACTGAAAACCAATTCTTAATCTTTAATATTTTTGTATGCATGCTTCTTAGTCAACATTAAGCTGTCTTTGACGACTAAAGGTTTTCTGATTCTGATTCTGAGTAATATTCACACCTCTCTGTCTCTTATTAAATACTCTGTGGAGACTTTTCGGGCTCTTATTGTGGCGGGTGTCAGAGACTTTTTGGGCTCTTAATATTGCGGGTGTCAGAGACTTTTCGGGCTCTTATTGTGGCGGGTGTCAGAGACTTTTCGGGCTCTTATTGTGGCGGGTGTCAGAGACTTTCCGGGCTCTTATTGTGGCGGGTGTCAGAGACTTTTCGGGCTCTTATTGTGGCGGGTGTCAGAGACTTTCCGGGCTCTTATTGTGGCGGGTGTCAGAGACTTTTCGGGCTCTTATTGTGGCGGGTGTCCGAGACTTTTTGGGCTCTTATTGTGGCGGGTGTCCGAGACCTTTCGGGCTCTTATTGTGGCGGGTGTCCGAGACTTTTCGGGCTCTTAATGTGGCTGGTGTCCGAGACTTTTTGGGCTCTTATTGTGGCGGGTGTCCGAGACCTTTCGGGCTCTTATTGTGGCGGGTGTCAGAGTCTTTTTGGGCTCTTATTGTGGCGGGTATCAGAGACTTCTCGGGCTTTTAATGTGGTGTGTATCAGAGACTTTTTCGGGCTCTTATTGTGGCGGGTATCAGGGACTTCTCGGGCTTTTAATGTGGCGGGTATCAGAGACTTCTCTGGCTTTTAATGTGGCGGGTATCAGAGACTTCTCGGGCTTTTAATGTGGCGGGTATTAGAGACTTCTCGGGCTTTTAATGTGGCGGGTATCAGAGACTTTTTCGGGCTCTTAATGTTGCGGGTATCAGAGACTTTTTCGGGCTCTTAATGTGGCGGGTATCAGAGACTTCTCGGGATTTTAATGTGGCGGGTATCAGAGACTTCTCGGGCTTTTAATGTGGTGTGTATCAGAGACTTTTTCGGGCTCTTATTGTGGCGGGTATCAGGGACTTCTCGGGCTTTTAATGTGGCGGGTATCAGAGACTTCTCTGGCTTTTAATGTGGCGGGTATCAGAGACTTCTCGGGCTTTTAATGTGGCGGGTATCAGAGACTTCTCGGGCTTTTAATGTGGCGGGTATCAGAGACTTTTTCGGGCTCTTAATGTTGCGGGTATCAGAGACTTTTTCGGGCTCTTAATGTGGCGGGTATCAGAGACTTCTCGGGCTTTTAATGTGGCGGGTATCAGAGACTTCTCGGGCTTTTAATGTGGCTCTTTTCGGGCTCTTAATGTGGCTGGTGTCCGAGACTTTTTGGGCTCTTATTGTGGCGGGTATCAGAGACTTCTCGGGCTTTTAATGTGGCGGGTATCAGAGACTTCAAAGACTTTTCGGGATCTTATTGTGGCGGGAAGGTTGTAGATACAAACTATACAAAGTGTCCACAAAGCCCATGTAAAGCGATAAAACCACAGAGGTGGGAAGTGTATAAATACATTTACTGTATTCATATACTTTACTACGGCTGAACTTAAAGAGGAGATCTTCTGCTCATGTTCAGGTTGATATTAGTATTTAGTGGTGCAATGTGTTGGAGCGCTAGCCAATAGGAGCGCGAGTGCTACATAGTGATGTCACTTTGTTCCAGAAGTAAACAAAAGGGAAAACCCCAGAAAGCATATGAGCGCCTCTTATTTTATCTCTCTCAAAACATCTAGATGTGAAGCATTGGTAGCATTTATAGTTGTCTTATTAACACCCACAATTACCAGCAATACACAAGGTGTGTGTGTGTGTGGTGTGTGTGTGTGTGTGTGTGTGTGTGTGTGTGTGTGTGTGGTGTGTGTAGTGTGTGTGTGTGTGTGTATACGTACGTACAGTGTGAACCACAGGGGGGCGACTCTGAGGTTGTAACTGGGAAGGAACTGGTTTGGTCTATTTCTGGAAAGAGTGTATGCAGTGTGTGTGTTGCTCCAACAGCTGAGCATGTGCCGGAGCAAGGGCACGGCACAGTGTGTGTGTGTGTGTGTGTGTGTGTGTGTGTGTGTGTGTGTCTGATCTCAGACCAGAGTCAGAGTCTGATAATCAACAGAGGTACTTCTGACCTTCAGTCTGAGACACACAGCAAAATACTCCCTGCAGTTTGTGTCACTCATTATGTACTGTACTAAATTACTTTCACTACATTTTACTTTACAATATACACTAGCAATACTTTCACTTCTATTAAACTTAGAATAAATACTTCTACTTTCATTTTACTGCACAATCAACACAAGAGAAAAGTACTTTAAAGGTCCCATGTCATGGCCATTTCTACTGATCATAGTTCCATTGTTGAGGTCTACTAGAATAGATGTACATTGTTCAATGTTCCAAACTCACATTGGTTTCTCATACAGCATCTCTGTATAGTATGTGTATTCACTCTCTGTCCTAAACGGCTTGTTGGAGCTCCTGCCCCCCCCCTCCCTATGAGCCCACTGTGCTCTGATTGGTCAGCTCGCCCACTCTGTTCTGATGAGTCCACCACCGTTACAGCGGAACATCAGTGATTATGTTTTACAATGGTGTTTGTTAGCAACCAGGAAATGACACCAGTAATGACAAACAGATGAGAATGCTGCGTGGGGTCTGGGTGCCGTGTTGGCGAGCGGACAGCGTGAGCTGGGTTCATTTCCTGCTTTCTGCGTGGCGTCTGCGAGACATCGCGAATGGACGCGGGAAGGAGGGGATGCTGAGGGGGGCTGCAATACCCCCCATCTGCGAGGCTCCACTAGCACCCGCAACCCCAAACTGAATCGAATGTCGTTGGGGTGTCAAATAAAAAAAGTCATGAATAAAGTGTTTAAAAAAAGACTTCTTGGCAAAACGATTTATTTTCATACTAAATAAATAACACATTCAAACATTCACTTTATGAAAACTTCAAAAACAAGCAGTGAAAAAACCTCCAGAATGAAATGTGTGAAACTTAAAAGACTCAACAATACGTTTCTCCTACACAAATCATCACAAGTAAATCAACTAAACTAACACCGCACGTCTCTCAGTCTGAATTCTTTAAGGTTTGCTGAAGTTTTTATGAAGATATAATCGTGTAACAGTCAACAACACTTGGAGTAAATCTGAAATAAAGAGCAGCATGATGTCAACAGACCACTCCAGACACGCTTTAAAGTAATGAATGAAGTGTAACTCAAAAGGCCAAAGAGTCGTTTCAGTCCATATCTGTGTTCCTCCACACACTCATGTTCCTCCACACACTCATGTTCCTCCACACACTCATGTTCCTCCACACACTCATGTTCCTCCACACACTCATGTTCCTCCACACACTCATGTTCCTCCACACACACTTTTCAGTCAGTCTGAAGACGACCAATCAGCTGCAGACGTCCTCAGCTTCTTTGAATCTCCTCAGGAGTCTCCGGTCATGATGGAGAGGAACTCCTCCTGATTTACTGAGGAATTAAAAGTTCATTTTTATATATTTCCTTACCTCTCATTTCATTGAATAGCTGTGTAATTATCCAAAGCATTTCATGGTTCAAGAAAAAAGAAAGGACACATTCAATAACGTGTGTCTCCCTCTAGAGGCCAGCAGGGGGCATTACACATCTGCAACACTTGATTTAAACAAGGCTGCTATAAAATACAGTGGAGTTTGGTTTAAAACTATATTGGGCTTTAGTCAGATATCTTTCACATTGAGAGTACATTTGAATGTCTAAGTTAAAGGTTCCCTATTAGACTGTCTTTCATCAGGTCTCAGATATATACAGAGCCTCTCTCTGATTGGCTGAAACACCAAACAGATCATTGCAGCTCGAGGAGGAGATTCAGGCGATAAGGTGGGGGGGGGGACATGTTGATGAAGAAGAGACATGAAGAAGAGGGGACACATGTTGATGAAGAAGAGACATGAAGAAGAGGGGACACATGTTGATGAAGAAGAGACATGAAGAAGAGGGGACACATGTTGATGTAGAAGAGACATGAAGAAGAGGGGACACATGTTGATGAAGAGAGACATGAAGAAGAGGGGACACATGTGAATGAAGAAGAGACATGAAGAAGAGGGGACACATGTTGATGAAGAAGAGACATGAAGAAGAGGGGACACATGTTGATGAAGAAGAGACATGAAGAAGAGGGGACACATGTTGATGTAGAAGAGACATGAAGAAGAGGGGACACATGTTGATGTAGAAGAGACATGAAGAAGAGGGGACACATGTTGATGAAGAAGAGACATGAAGAAGAGGGGACACATGTTGATGTAGAAGAGACATGAAGAAGAGGGACACGTGTTGATGTAGAAGAGACATGTAGAAGAGGGGACACATGTTGATGTAGAAGAGACATGAAGAAGAGGGGACACATGTTGATGTAGAAGAGACATGAAGAAGAGGGGACACATGTTTGATGAAGAAGAGACATGAAGAAGAGGGACACATGTTGATGAAGAAGAGACATGAAGAAGAGGGGGACACATGTTGATGTAGAAGAGACATGAAGAAGAGGGGACACATGTTGATGTAAGAAGAGACATGAAGAAGAGGGGACACATGTTGATGTAGAAGAGCATGAAGAAGAGGGGACACATGTTTGATGTAGAAGAGACATGAAGAAGAGGGGACACATGTTGATGAAGAAGAGACATGAAGAAGAGGGGACACATGTTGATGTAGAAGAGACATGAAGAAGAGGGGAACACATGTTGATGTAGAAGAGACATGAAGAAGAGGGGACACATGTTGATGTAGAAGAGACATGAAGAAGAGGGGACACATGTTGATGAAGAAGAGAACATGAAGAAGAGGGGACACATGTTGATGAAGAAGAGACATGAAGAAGAGGGGACACATGTTGATGTAGAAGAGACGTGAAGAAGAGGGGACACATGTTGATGTAGAAGAGACATGAAGAAGAGGGGACACATGTTGATGTAGAAGAGACATGAAGAAGAGGGGACACATGTTGATGTAGAAGAGACATGAAGAAGAGGGGACACATGTTGATGTAGAAGAGACATGAAGAAGAGGAGACACCATGTTGATGAAGAAGAGACATGAAGAAGAGGGGACACATGTTGATGTAGAAGAGACGTGAAGAAGAGGGGACACATGTTGATGTAGAAGAGACGTGAAGAAGAGGGGACACATGTTGATGTAGAAGAGACGTGAAGAAGAGGAGACACATGTTGATGTAGAAGAGACGTGAAGAAGAGGGGACACATGTTGATGTAGAAGAGACGTGAAGAAGAGGGGACACATGTTGATGTAGAAGAGACGTGAAGAAGAGGAGACACATGTTGATGAAGAAGAGACATGAAGAAGAGGGGACACATGTTGATGTAGAAGAGACGTGAAGAAGAGGGGACACATGTTGATGTAGAAGAGACGTGAAGAAGAGGGGACACATGTTGATGTAGAAGAGACGTGAAGAAGAGGAGACACATGTTGATGAAGAAGAGACATGAAGAAGAGGGGACACATGTTGATGTAGAAGAGACGTGAAGAAGAGGGGACACATGTTGATGTAGAAGAGACGTGAAGAAGAGGGGACACATGTTGATGTAGAAGAGACATGAAGAAGAGGGGACACATGTTGATGTAGAAGAGACATGAAGAAGAGGGGACACATGTTGATGTAGAAGAGACATGAAGAAGAGGGGACACATGTTGATGTAGAAGAGACATGAAGAAGAGGGGACACATGTTGATGTAGAAGAGACATGAAGAAGAGGGGACACATGTTGATGAAGAAGAGACATGAAGAAGAGGGGACACATGTTGATGAAGAAGAGACATGAGGAAGAGGATTTTGTATAATAGGTGACCTCTAAGAGCTCGGTAATGTTTACGTACTCTCTCCGTCTCCGTCCCCGTCGAACTCGTCGATCATGCCTCGCAGCTCATCGTCGCTGATGTTCTCCCCGAGTTCTCGAGCGACTCGCCTCAGGTTCCTCAGGCTGATCTTCCCCGACTCGTCATCATCGAACAGCTTGAAGGCCTTCAGGACCTCCTCTTTCGGGTCTCGCTCCAGGATCCGGTCTGTCACTGCGGAGAACCATAAACACAGAGAGGTCACATTCTGCTTTCTCTGGTCCTGTGTTCTCTATGTTTCTGTGGTCCTGTGTTCTCTATGTTTCTGTGGTCCTGTGTTCTCTATGTTTCTGTGGTCCTGTGTTCTCTATGTTTCTCTGGTCCTGTGTTCTCTATGTTTCTGTGGTCCTGTGTTCTATATGTTTCTGTGGTCCTGTGTTCTATGTTTCTGTGGTCCTGTGTTCTCTATGTTTCTGTGGTCCTGTGTTCTCTATGTTTCTGTGGTCCTGTGTTCTCTGTGTTTCTGTGGTCCTGTGTTCTATGTTTCTGTGGTCCTGTGTTCTATGTTTCTCTGGTCCTGTGTTCTCTGTGTTTCTGTGGTCCTGTGTTCTCTATGTTTCTGTGGTCCTGTGTTCTCTATGTTTCTGTGGTCCTGTGTTCTCTATGTTTCTGTGGTCCTGTGTTCTCTATGTTTCTCTGTGGTCCTGTGTTCTCTATGTTCTGTGGTCCTGTGTTCTCTATGTTTCTGTGGTCCTGTGTTCTCTATGTTGTCTGTGGTCCTGTGTTCTATATGTTTCTGTGGTCCTGTGTGCTCTATGTTTCTGTGGTCCTGTGTTCGCTATGTTCTGTGGTCCTGTGTTCTCTATGTTTCTGTGGGTCCTGTGTTCTACTATGTTTCTGTGGTCCTGTGTTCTATGTTTCTGTGGTCCTGTGTTCTCTATGTTTCTGTGGTCCCTGTGTTCTCTAGTGTTTCTGTGGTCCTGTGTTCTCTATGTTCTGTGGTCCTGTGTTCTCTATGTTTCTGTGGGTCCTGTGTTCTCTATGTTTCTGTGGTCCTGTGTTCTATATGTTTCTGTGGTCCTGTGTTCTATATGTTTCTGTGGTCCTGTGTTCTATGTTTCTGTGGTCCTGTGTTCTCTATGTTTCTGTGGTCCTGTGTTCTATGTTTCTGTGGTCCTGTGTTCTCTATGTTTCTTGTGGTCCTGTGTTCTGTGGTCCTGTGTTCTCTATGTTTCTGTGGTCCTGTGTTCTATGTTTCTGTGGTCCTGTGTTCTCTATGTTTCTGTGGTCCTGTGTTCTATATGTTTCTGTGGTCCTGTGTTCTCTATGTTTCTGTGGTCCTGTGTTCTCTATGTTTCTGTGGTCCTGTGTTCTCTATGTTTCTGTGGTCCTGTGTTCTATATGTTTCTGTGGTCCTGTGTTCTCTATGTTTCTGTGGTCCTGTGTTCTCTATGTTTCTGTGGTCCTGTGTTCTATATGTTTCTGTGGTCCTGTGTTCTCTATGTTTCTGTGGTCCTGTGTTCTCTATGTTTCTGTGGTCCTGTGTTCTCTATGTTTCTGTGGTCCTGTGTTCTCTATGTTTCTGTGGTCCTGTGTTCTATGTTTCTGTGGTCCTGTGTTCTCTATGTTTCTGTGGTCCTGTGTTCTCTATGTTTCTGTGGTCCTGTGTTCTCTATGTTTCTGTGGTCCTGTGTTCTCTATGTTTCTGTGGTCCTGTGTTCTCTGTTTCTGTGGTCCTGTGTTCTCTATGTTTCTGTGGTCCTGTGTTCTATATGTTTCTGTGGTCCTGTGTTCTATGTTTCTGTGGTCCTGTGTTCTCTATGTTTCTGTGGTCCTGTGTTCTCTATGTTTCTGTGGTCCTGTGTTCTCTATGTTTCTGTGGTCCTGTGTTCTATATGTTTCTGTGGTCCTGTGTTCTCTATGTTTCTGTGGTCCTGTGTTCTATATGTTTCTGTGGTCCTGTGTTCTATGTTTCTGTGGTCCTGTGTTCTATATGTTTCTGTGGTCCTGTGTTCTATATGTTTCTGTGGTCCTGTGTTCTATATGTTTCTGTGGTCCTGTGTTCTATATGTTTCTGTGGTCCTGTGTTCTCTATGTTTCTGTTCTGTGTCTCTGTGTTCTCTATGTTTCTCTGGTCCTGTGTTCTCTATGTTTCTGTGGTCCTGTGTTCTCTATGTTTCTGTGGTCCTGTGTTCTCTATGTTTCTGTGGTCCTGTGTTCTCTATGTTTCTGTGGTCCTGTGTTCTCTATGTTTTGGTCTGTGTTCTATATGTTTCTGTGGTCCTGTGTTCTATATGTTTCTGTGGTCCTGTGTTCTATATGTTTCTGTGGTCCTGTGTTCTATATGTTTCTGTGGTCCTGTGTTCTATGTTTCTGTGGTCCTGTGTTCTCTATGTTTCTGTGGTCCTGTGTTCTATATGTTTCTGTGGTCCTGTGTTCTATGTTTCTGTGGTCCTGTGTTCTCTATGTTTCTGTGCATGTCAACGTGTGTGTATTTAGAGACACTACAAACTGACTTACACCTGAACGATCTGAAAGATAGGGCCCCTTTAAGTGTCTGGCTCAAATCAAACTCACCGACTTCACTGAAATCCTCCAGAGTGATCTTCCCGTTCCCGTCTCTGTCATAATCTTTAAGGATCTTCAAAACGTCGACTTTCTTCAGCTCAAAACCGAGCGCACGCATCGCCACCTGTTGGGGTTTTAAAATGGGGTTATACGGTATATTCAAACTTTACAGATATTCTCAAGGTTCAAGGTTCTTTATTGTCAATCTGACATAGCTACAGAGTAATTATGTAGTTGAAAATCTTATGTCACAGGCTTCTCCAACAATGCAACATAATAACATAATAACAATAAGAGCAAGAGCAATACAAAAAGAATAATAGTTATAATAAAGTGATGATGTGGAATAGTGCAGTACAAGTCTATATACAAGTTATTGGAATGATATATATATCTTAGGTATTAGATACATATTATTGAGTAGCTGAAGAATGTTTTGAAGTTGTTTCAACAGTTCAATTTTCAATTTCAATTCTCATCTAACATCCTGGTTTTGATCTTCTTCAGGATATGACGTGTTTCATGAAACAGGTTATGATGATTACCACAAATGAATCTTTACGATACCCACAACATATACTCAGGGTCTTGAACTGTGAACTGCTTTAACCCTTAAGTTGTGTTGGGGTCTCCCATGACCCGTTTCAAGTTCAAATGATATAATAACTACGCTCTAGTTATTGTATGCGAACCAGGCTTCATGATATCCTCCACAACAGATATAGAAACACTACAAAACTGATGTTAACAGTTTTAGCCAAGTCTGAAGGTCTCTAAAAAAAAAAGTGTATCATTTGGTGTTGGGGTCTGGGGAGACCCAGCAGCTTGTTGTGGGTCACTCGGGGTCAAATTTGGCCCAATCAAGATTCATCTTTGACTTTAGACGCCCCTCCCCCCGCCCCTTCATCACTGTAACAATAATTGTTCGCAACATGCACCTGCTCTCCCCTCCCTCTGCCCCCCTCCCCCCACGGGAACTCCACCTTTCTCAAAGAATATGTACACTAACGGCCCGTCCACACAGCAGCGTTAAAAAAATCTTGAAACGCTTCTGCCCATTCACTTTGAATGGGGTGACGTCACTTTGCCTCACTTTTCGCCGAACTGCATTGTGGGAAAGCAGAGCGGAGATTTTCAGGATTTTCAGGATTCAAAGTTGAACAATGTTCAACTTTTGAAGCTGAGGTGGAAGCGTCAGCCAATCAAATCCCATGTATGCAAATCTGACAGTTCAAGCGCTAGCCAATCAAACGGCGTGTATGCTGGGAGAGACATACCGCAGGTCATTTCCTCATATTCCAAAACATGGAGGAGAAATTAGCAGTAGGGAATCACCCGGTGCTTTATGACCAGTCCCTATTTACCTACCGGGATACAAACCGGAGGAGCCAGGCATGGAGGGAGGTGGCAGAGACAGTGGTATGTTTTCGCCTGTTTGGGGAGTTTATATCCAGTTTACTTCGTATGTCGGGGGCGGGAGATTCATGTGATTGGTTGTTGGTGCCTTGCTCGCAAAAAATCCCCAAGCTTCAGATACGCCCACCTCCAAGATTTTTTTAACGCTGCTGTGTGGACGGGCCGTAACACTTGAACCTGCACTCACACATGCACGTGTGCAATATGTGGTGTGATGTGTTTTGGGGCCATAACATTAAATTACAACAGGATTGTACGGTTATGAATGCATTATAAGTTAGTTATGATGTTAAAACAATATTGGATGATAGTCATTCTTTTTGAGTGTTTTGGACTGAGATAAATCATGGGTCAAAACTGACCCGCGAGCACCATGAACGGTAACAGCTTTCGAACACAACACAAGGGTTAAAGCATGTCGAGTGTAATCTACTTAATAATGCAGATTGATATTTAGGTGTTGAGACATTTGATCAACAACATATTTACTATATTGTACAACTTTATAGTACCTCACTGTATCCGTCTCTTATCGTTCCTTGTTTACCTTGAGCTCGTGATAGTCGATTTCTTTGTCTTTGTCGGTGTCGAACAGCTCGAACGCTTCTTTGATTTCATGCTTCTGATCCTCGCTCAGCTCTCTCCTCTTCTTGCGTTTTGTTTTGTCCGCAGCAACATCAGTCCTGGGAGGAGACATGTCGGAGTTACACAGGAATCATTACATTACATGACATGTCACTTGTTAGACGCTTTTATCCAAAGCGACTTACATACTGAATACTGTGGACAATCCCCACAGGAGCACTTTGGGGTGAAGTGTCTCAGGGACACAACGACATGCTGACTGCAGTGGGGTTTGAACTTGTGACCCCCTGATCCCAACACCACGGCACTAACCCACTGCGCCACACGCCTCCTCTAATTAGCCTTATAAGGTGTGAAAAACATGTGCAGTGGTGAATGTAACGTAGCTGAAATTCCCAGTGGAGGAAGGAGTATTTATATCATTTACTCACGGTAAAAATACTCCACTGCAAGTAAAGTCTGTCAAAACCTAACTTCATACGTAGGAGTTGAAGCACTGACTGTGCAGAGAAATGTCTATACATTAGCATTACAATCATGTTTCATGTTACTATCGATCCTTGAGGCTTTTTTATTTATCATGAGAAGGAAGAGATTTGTTCTCGAGTTGTACAGGAAAGGACTTTAATAAGAAAGGTAGCTAGAAATGTACTGCAAAAAAAAGTACAATATTATAAATAAACACACCTGTTTACCTTTCATACCAACACATTCAAATCACCAATCAATACTCTTTTTATAACTGCCTTTAATCTGCAGTTAACGTTGTGTTTTATATATATTAAATGTGTGTTGTTTTAACTATGTCTTCATTCATTTTTACCGTGCAACAGTGTCTTTGGGTTTCTTAAAAAGCGCTCTATAAATAAAATGTATTATTATTATTATCAAATATTGGTAATGAATGTGTAATATTAAGCTATAAAAGAGGTGTAAATGAACGTTACACTAAACCGTGAGTCAGCTAAATAAGCTAGCTTGTTGGAAACATTAAAGTTATTAAACGTTAAACTGTAAACTAGCTTTTCAAACACTGATATTAAAGCCAAACATGCTAACACTAGCTAGCATGGAATAGCTAATGTTGGCTTTACGTACATTAAAATGACCAGTAGTGAATAAATAAACTAGAAGTACTTGAGATAGAGAGGTTTACCTTAAAGACAGACTCATTTCGGGTGGATTATAATACGTTAAAACGGTCAAAACAACACGTTTTTGTCGCTAAACTCACAGGTTTCTCTGCAACACAAAACCACAACAAACCGTGCGTGTATCCGCCGCGCGCTCAGACGGAGGCTTCCCATTGGTCGCTGGGGAAGAAGGTGCTCTCTGATTGGTTCACGTCAGAGCCATTCAATCTTCTTCTTCTTTGGTGTTTACCGGTAGCTAGAATGCTGAGTGTTGCTCTACTGCCATCGTGTGGAATCAACTAGTGATGAAATACTCTGTCGTTGACAATAATAATAATAATAATAATAATAATAATAATATATAAACAATTAAATGTATTATAGATAAGTGTGGATATGGGAAAATAAATCAACTAGTTTTAGAACACAGTTATTTTCATTATAATATAAAATAAATAATGAATATATTAGATTATATATACTTTATTGATCCAAAATAGAGAGACATTGCACATGTAAACACATATATACATAACAGTAGAACAGATATATATCTTTAAAATATACACTATAAAACCAACTGTAAAGGCCTGGCAAATGCAAATAAAAACAATATGTAAGCCTGTGAAAATATGTTATATTATATATATAAATACCTCCAGTTTTAAAGACCCTCTTTTTATTTAAATCTGACAGCCTTTATTTTCCAGCAAACTCTCTCAAGAGTCTTGCAGATTTTTAACTCATATTCCTGTTGTTATTTTTCTTCTTTACTTGCTTGTTAAGCGCCTTGAGAACAAGGAAAATCACTTTATAAATCACATGTATTGTTATTATTATTATTATTATATAAACTAATCCAGAGAGAGGATGAGGTAAGAGACAAAAGGGAGTCTCAGTGACGGAGCGATATCTTTCCTGGGATGAGATCGTCTTTCCTCCAAACCTCTATCACGAACACACACATGGGATACAGGACACACACACACCGTGAGACAGGACACACACACACACACACACACACACACACACCGTGAGACAGGACACACACATAGTAGACAGGACACACACTGAGATTAGCAGAGACCCGACGGCACCTTCACACACACACACACACACACACACACACACACACACACACACACACACACACACACACACACACACACACACACACACACACACACACACACACACACACACACACACACACACTGAGGGTGAGAACGCTGTGTGGGAAATACATGATAGAGATGAAGAGGAGGTCAGAGGTCAACAAGGGAGGAAGACTTTGAAGAGGATTTGCTGCAGAAAACATTACAAAAATAAGAAATTATGAATTTGAGTCATCTAACAGAGGATGTATCTACAGCTTACTGGAAGAAAACAGGGGGGAACATCTCACTTCAGTAAATATTGTAATAAATACATTTGATAGTAATATCTCTGACTAAATGACGCAATCCAATACTCCAATAATACCTGATGGCCTATACATGTAACTGAAGAACTGTCAAACCCTGCAGCTCTCCATCATCAACTTGTAATCCTGAAATAATAAATAGTGCAGGACTCCCGATACGACTTTGACCTCTGACAGGTCTCTCCAGAGAGGAAGCAACATGAGAGAAACAACAAACTCATCTGTGCAGCGCTCAGACACACCCAGGGTAACACGGCTCCCCAGAGACTGCTTTCTGTGGAGAAACAGCAGGGAGGGACTGGTTCAGCAAAAATATTATATATTTCTCCGAGCCTTCAAGATGAGGAAAAAGGGAAAAGTTGACCCAAATGTTGGTGCTGAAATGTGTTCAGAACAGTCTCTGATATGAAGAGTACATCCTGCAGAGGGTCATGTGATTGACAGAGACACAGTGACAGTTTTCAATAATCGTTTTGCTGAAATGCGATGGGATTTTACGGACAGACTTTGCAGCCCACATTCAGTGCTGCCTGAATGAAAATGTGTTTGTTTTTTTGGTTGCAATCCTGAAATTCCAAAAGCAAATGGCGAGTTTGGAGCTGAGTGGAGGGGAGAGGGAACTCATGCACTCCGACTGTTTGTTCATAGTTTAACTAATTTAATTTATTTAGCTATGTTGGATCTATAAGCTACCTTTCTGAATGCAGGACTTTTACTGTAACAGAGTATTCCTACACTCTGGTACTTCTACTTTTACTCAAGTACAAGATCTGAGTACTTCTACTTTTACTCAAGTACAAGATCTGAGTACTTCTACTTTTACTCAAGTACAAGATCTGAGTACTTCTACTTTTACTACAAAATCTGAGTACTTCTACTTTTACTCAAGTACAAAATCTGAGTACTTCTACTTTTACTCAAGTACAAGATCTGAGTACTTCTACTTTTACTCAAGCACAAAATCTGAGTACTTCTACTTTTACTCAAGTACAAGATCTGAGTACTTCTACTTTTACTCAAGCACAAAATCTGAGTACTTCTACTTTTACTCAAGTACAAAATCTGAGTACTTCTATTTTGACTCAAGTACAAAATCTGAGTACTTCTACTTTTACTCAAGTACAAGATCTGAGTACTTCTACTTTTACTCAAGTACAAGACCTGAGTACTTCTACTTTTACTCAAGTACAAGATCTGAGTACTTCTACTTTTACTCAAGTACAAGATCTGAGTACTTCTACTTTTACTCAAGTACAAGATGTGAGTACTTCTACTTTTACTCAAGTACAAGACCTGAGTACTTCTACTTTTACTCAAGTACAAGATCTGAGTACTTCTACTTTTACTCAAGCACAAAATCGGAGTACTTCTACTTTTACTCAATTACAAGATCTGAGTACTTCTACTTTTACTCAAGTACAAGATCTGAGTACTTCTACTTTTACTCAAGTACAAGATCTGAGTACTTCTACTTTTACTCAAGTACAAGATCTGAGTACTTCTACTTTTACTCAAGTACAAGACCTGAGTACTTCTACTTTGACTCAAGTACAAGATGTGAGTACTTCTACTTTTACTCAAGTACAAGATGTGAGTACTTCTACTCCCCTGGTTAACGTGTTTTTTTGTCATCCAGCAGGTTTTCACAGTGTTTTGTTTAAACTAATCACATATTGGCACATCTAAATCTTACTTAGAATAAATGTGCATGTCATTCGAAAGATTATTCAAACTGTTTCTTCGGCTAGTAAAGCTTAATAAAACTGCCGTTGCTAAGAAAGTAAGAGCACTATACTTTAACTGGAAGTAAACCACCACAATATCAATCACTATGCTAGTATTTTCCGTCATATCTTAAAGGTAACATTTGCATCTGAAAAGCGAGTTCCTATTTTGGCCCAAAGATGTGATATGAAGGCTTTGAGAGAGCTAATATGGGGTATGTGGCTTATGATTTGTACACATATAATAAAGTAATAGCAATGAGCTCTAACTGTTAGTAAACCATCAGTCACTAAGGACGCTCTCCGTCATATTTAAGGTGAAACAGGGTGAAGCTGTCCTGAGTTTGACCTTCGTCTCTCAGACAGAGGTCGAGCTTCAGACTCCTCTCCGGCCTTGAACTCACGTCTAGTTTCTGAGGTGAACATGATGAAGGGGGGGAGGGTAATGACTGGAGAATATTTACCTTATCCAGCACAGAGGCGGCTTTCTAAAGGAACCACATGTGAGCCAGGGGGGTAAACAGATTTGGGGGGGGGAGGGTGAGTGCAGAAAGCAGCTTCTGTTTGGCTCTGACTGACTTCGATTCAGACGCTCAGAGGAAGTTTATTGAAGTTCCAGATGCTCGGCAGGAGGCTGTTCTGCAGACGAGGATAAATGAGTTTTCATCGCCGACGTTCTGACACACAGCGAGCATTGTTCAGCTTCAAAGCTGGATTAAACTCTCGGTTTTAGGACTCGAACCTGCAGAACGTGCAGTTTACTCTCAGCTGGACGCAGAGTTTTATAGTGAAGCTCAGACAGGAAGGTGTTTCAGATCCCTTTCTTAATGAGAGGAGGATGTTAGATGAAAAGGTACAGCAGAAACCCATGAAATCTGCTGGTACTATTATAAGAATTGACTTTTATACACTTCATTTTGACCCTAATGAGTTAAATGCCTGTTTAAAACACAAAATAAAATACAAAATGCACGAGAGAAACTACAAGAAATAATCCAGGAAAACCGAAGCTTCAACTTTCCAGCTGTTTAAATATGAAATGATAGGGTTTTGTCATGTAAACACTTTGATAGGACATCACAAGACTATCCAAAATTGTGAATCCTGATTTAATGCCATGTGCGATTAACAATTCAGTTTGTATTTTAGTAAATTAGATTAGATTGTATTTTTCAATCTAATAGATTATGTATCGCTTCAATCCAAGTCCAATGTTATTTACGCACTCAAATATACCACCGCTAAGCTAAAGGTGGCTAATGTTGGGCTATAAAGGAACTACAGCACGGTCACATGACTTCACGTCACCACCGCTAAGCTAAAGGTGGCTAATGTTGGGCTATAAAGGAACTACAGCACGGTCACATGACTTCACGTCACCACCGCTAAGCTAAAGGTGGTTAATGTTGGGCTATAAAGGAACTACAGCACGGTCACATGACTTCACGTCACCACCGCTAAGCTAAAGGTGGCTAATGTTGGGCTATAAAGGAACTACAGCACGGTCACATGACTTCACGTCACCACCGCTAAGCTAAAGGAGGCTAATGTTGGGCTATAAAGGAACTACAGCACGGTCACATGACTTCACGTCACCACCGCTAAGCTAAAGGTGGCTAATGTTGGGCTATAAAGGAACTACAGCACGGTCACATGACTTCACGTCACCACCGCTAAGCTAAAGGTGGCTAATGTTGGGCTATAAAGGAACTACAGCACGGTCACATGACTTCACGTCTCCACCGCTAAGCTAAAGGTGGCTAATGTTGGGCTATAAAGGAACTACAGCACGGTCACATGACTTCACGTCTCCACCGCTAAGCTAAAGGTGGCTAATGTTGGGCTATAAAGGAACTACAGCACGGTCACATGACTTCACGTCACCACCGCTAAGCTAAAGGTGGCTAATGTTGGGCTATAAAGGAACTACAGCACGGTCACATGACTTCACGTCACCACCGCTAAGCTAAAGGTGGCTAATGTTGGGCTATAAAGGAACTACAGCACGGTCACATGACTTCACGTCACCACCGCTAAGCTAAAGGTGGCTAATGTTGGGCTATAAAGGAACTACAGCACGGTCACATGACTTCACGTCACCACCGCTAAGCTAAAGGAGGCTAATGTTGGGCTATAAAGGAACTACAGCACGGTCACATGACTTCACGTCTCCACCGCTAAGCTAAAGGTGGCTAATGTTGGGCTATAAAGGAACTACAGCACGGTCACATGACTTCACGTCACCACCGCTAAGCTAAAGGTGGCTAATGTTGGGCTATAAAGGAACTACAGCACGGTCACATGACTTCACGTCACCACCGCTAAGCTAAAGGAGGCTAATGTTGGGCTATAAAGGAACTACAGCACGGTCACATGACTTCACGTCTCCACCGCTAAGCTAAAGGTGGCTAATGTTGGGCTATAAAGGAACTACAGCACGGTCACATGACTTCTCGTCACCACCGCTAAGCTAAAGGAGGCTAATGTTGGGCTATAAAGGAACTACAGCACGGTCACATGACTTCACGTCACCACCGCTAAGCTAAAGGAGGCTAATGTTGGGCTATAAAGGAACTACAGCACGGTCACATGACTTCACGTCACCACCGCTAAGCTAAAGGAGGCTATATATATAAAACATAAACCCAGTTTTGTTCTTCTATTTCTCTTTTACTGAGTTATGATTTATATAAACAGTCAATCGTCTTGATCTCTTTACTCAAAGCTCACCTAAACTAAATAACCGTGTAAATTTATCATATTTATTTGCATGTTTTTTAAACAAAACATCCACTTTTGCTTGTTTTGATGAGTGTAAACACACAAATGTCTCCGTAATTTACCAACCTGTTCTCGTCTATATTCATATTTATATTAGTATTTTCCCTCATATCTTAAAGGTGGCATTTGCATCTGAAGAGGGAGTTCCTATTGTGCTCTCTCTGTGAAGTTGTGTTTAATAGGAACCAGCGAATGGAGACTTTTGCTCGTGTGCATTAAAGGTTTTTTGTCATAAAAACGGCTTGAATCCATTTTTTAAGACCTGTAAAATCCAGACTTGTGTTAAATAACTACAAAACAAATCAACAATGACACAAAGATATTATACGAAGGCTTTAAGAGACCTAATATGTGATATGTTGCTTATGATTTGTACACATGAGGGTGAAATACGAGGTGTAAACAATAAACTCTATGAATTGTGAATGGCTTTCAGTACAGGTCATGTTTTTGGGGAGGGGTGCAGCATGTTAAAGAATCAGTGTTTGGCGTGTGTGTGTTCGAGTCATTAAATCTAATTCCCCTGAACCCCACCCTGAAGGAGCACAAAGACCCCCTGTCCACTTTCTGAACTCCAGGTGAGGGGTGGGGGGACGTTAAATTACAGCTCTTAGTTTGAAGGACATTTGACTACCTCTATTACACGGAGTACTACGAAGTGTGTTTAGTGAGCAAAAATACACATTCATTTACTGCTGAACGACACAAATGTATGAGATGAGAAGGAATATAACGGGACTACAGCACGGTCACATGACTTCACCTCACCACCGCTAAGCTAAAGGTGGCTAATGTTGGGCTATAAAGGAACTACAGCACGGTCACATGACTTCACGTCACCACCGCTAAGCTAAAGGTGGCTAATGTTGGGCTATAAAGGAACTACAGCACGGTCACATGACTTCACCTCACCACCGCTAAGCTAAAGGTGGCTAATGTTGGGCTATAAAGGAACTACAGCACGGTCACATGACTTCACGTCACCACCACTAAGCTAAAGGTGGCTAATGTTGGGCTATAAAGGAACTACAGCACGGTCACATGACTTCACGTCACCACCGCTAAGCTAAAGGTGGCTAATGTTGGGCTATAAAGGAACTACAGCACGGTCACATGACTTCACGTCACCACCTCTAAGCTAAAGGTGGCTAATGTTGGGCTATAAAGGAACTACAGCACGGTCACATGACTTCATGTCACCACCGCTAAGCTAAAGGTGGCTAATGTTGGGCTATAAAGGAACTACAGCACGGTCACATGACTTCACGTCACCTCCGCTAAGCTAAAGGCGGCTAATGTTGGGCTATAAAGGAACTACAGCACGGTCACATGACTTCACGTCACCACCGCTAAGCTAAAGGAGGCTAATGTTGGGCGTGATGACGTTTAGTCGTCTCTTTTAGACACTTGTTAGCTACCTCTTTGTTTAAATCCACCAGTGGAGTATTTACTGACGTATTTTATGTCGTAGAACAAAACGTTAAAATCTCTTCAGCTCGTGATAACCACAGACCTTATTAGACCGCAGTCTTCCATAAACAACAGTTTATTCTGAATCTCATTATGTTGACGACATGATTGACTCTCTCTCAGTCTGACCTTTTCAACTCTTTATGACTTTAACCTTCTGCAGAAAGCTCGCTGACCGTTACAATGAAGAGTTAATGGAGCAGAGTGAGGGATTCGTGCAGGACCATCGCTCCTCTCCACAGTCCTGAACATCTTCACTAACAAGCAGCTTAAACATTCTTTAGTTTCAAGACGTTTGATCTGTATCTTTGAAGGGTAATGTATGTGAAAATGTCCAAAGGAATACGCGAGTACTTTTACTTTTACTCAAGTACAAGATCTAAGTACTTCTTCTCAAGTACAAGATCTGAGTACTTCTCCCCCCTCTGTTGATGAGTCCATTTCTCTATATAAAGTCTCCAGATGAAAACTAAAAGCTCATGTCTTCATTTATTTGTTTTATTATCAGTAATTGTTTTAGTTTCTGTGAGATTAAATAGTTTGACTCCTGGCTCTGATACTGTGACGGAGCGTCCACACGGCGGCGTGCGTTGAAGTTTGCCGGCGGGCGTGTCTGAAACTCGACCAACAACCAATCACATGAATCTCCCGCCCCGGACACACAAGCACGCGGTTTGATTGGCTAGAGCTTGTTCTGGCATGCGCTTCCGTTGAAGCTTCAAAAGTGGAACATTGCTCAACTTTTGAAGCGAGCAAAGCAAAGCGACGGAACCACAATGCAGTTCGGCAAAGCGTGACGTCACTCCATTCAAAGTGAATGGGCAGAAGTGTTGAAGCTTCCAGAATAAAGAAGACGATGAAGAGAGAATAAAGGCGATGAGATTTTGGGAACGAGGTGACTGTAAAGCAGAGGGGAGATAAGCAGAGCTGGATGGATAGGGGGGGGGGGGGGGGGGGGGGGGGGGGGGGGGGGGGATGTGGTGGTTAATTCATGGGTGGATGTTGTGTAAAGTTTGTGGTTCAGGAACTGTTCCCAATTATTCTGAAGACTCACAGATAAACTGAGGAGGGTCTTCCCATCGAGCCTCTAAATACAGAATATACTAAAACACACTCCTCTCAGACAGTTTAGATACAAACTGACAAATCTAAATGTTAATAAATAAATAATGTGTAGAAGTTCCAGAGGTCATTAAATACTGTCAGCCATCACAGTTGCATTGTGGGCAATGTAGGCGCTGTTTTTTTAACAAGGAAGAAAAAAGGCATCTCTGGTTCTGCTACATCGAATATGATGCTTTAACATTTCCATGGACAATGTTTTACGGTAGAAGTGCAAGTAACTAATTGATTTACTTTGCATAGCGTCGCCAGCTCTATCAACCAACCAGAGAAACAGTTTTTAAGCTTTTGAATGAACTGTTATGAA